GGATGTAAGTATCACCAATACTAAATACAAACAATTGGATAAAAAACACATTTCATTTCAGCTATGAAGGTTCTGCACTGGAAAAAATTGAAATCTAGATAAGTTATTTTCTGTTAAAATAAGTGCATTTGTTCTTGGATTGAGGAGGTAAAAGAGACATTTTGCCAACACGACAATTTACATTTGAAATAAGAAAACAAAATTACATTGTATTAATTTAAGTGCAGACTAGAAATACTCATTCCATTGGCAAACTCTCTCGTTTACCTACTTAAATTAAGGTTAAATACACTTAATTTAAGACATTTGTACTTATTTCTAGATAGTTTTTCCAGTGCGGGCTGCATATGCTGCAAAAACGATCTAAAAATGTATTAAATTAAGTATATTTACCATTAAGTTGAGCAGGAAAAAAAGATGATCTGCCAATGGAATGAGTATTTTAACTCTTAAAATAAGAAAATTTATTTCAGATAAGATAATTACATAATATGCATTTGAATTAAGACAATGCAATAGTTTTTTCTTATTCTAAATGTAAATTGTCTTGTTTCCCTGACAGTGTCTGACTTCCCTCCTCAATTCAAGGAAAAATCCGCTGACTTAAAAACTTATTTAGATTTGAGTTTTTGCATTGTAAAGCCATCTTCCCTTCTGTTTCACTCACATACATGAAAACAGCGTTATGACTCTTGTCACACCTTGCTAAATTTATCCAGCGTCTGCCTGACGTCCCAGAATCTCCTAAAACGCTGGCATGTGCTGAACTTTCTATGGATTTTTTCAATTTTGGGCGTATACATAGAGTATTCATAACGAGTCCAGAACTTCTGTCCAATGACAGCCTAACTGCTGCAGAACGCACGTCATGCTTGTGCATCATTTCATAGGCATTACGAAGCATCAGTTAAAGCTGCCGACTTCCTGTGGGGTTTGGACCATGGCTCCAAGAGGCTTTTTTGTAGGTTTGGATGGGTTGCACNTGGCCGGTGAGTGTAGGTTTTTGAAAGACTCAGATTTCAGCTCTCAAAAACCTACAAAGCAGCAATAGCAGAAGACCTTGCCTTTTCAGCCTGGCCAACTATTCCCTTTAACGTAATGTTACAACGAATAAAGTTATAACTTTACAAGAATGAAGTCATCAAACCACAACCTGTTTCAGAAAGAAATCTTGGAGCTCCGCCCAACAGATGACGGCCGACCGGCTCCACCAATCAGCAGCCAGAGTCCACTTTGACATCCTGCCCAGTTTGATGCTGCTGCTAAAAGATTTCCTGATTTATCAAACCGATGCTAAAGTATAACTTCACATGATGCTCCACATTCCTCATTTTAGGGAAGAAAGAGCTTCTTGGAAGAGTTGACATAAAATAGAACTTATTTCTTGGAATTTCTCAACTTTATTCTCTTCTTTATTCATTTATATATCACGACCTTATTCTTGTAATTTTAGGACTTTATTTACGTAATATTATGACTTTATTCTTATAATATTACTACTTTATTCTAAGTAATTTCCCTCTGGGATTATTAAAGTATTTCTGACTCTGATTCTGATTAATTTTATGAATTTATTCTCGTAACTCAACGCTTATTCTGAAAAGCGTCCTGGATGGAAGTTTGTTGAAGTTTTTTGGAAAGTGTTGATGAACCAGCTGAGCTTCTCCTGAATCCACAGCAGAGGGATGTTTCAGCCATTTATCCTTGACTCCAGCTGCTTTGGTGTGTTTCTTCTCTTGTGACCTTTGTCCTTAGGTCTATTTCTTCCTGCTCTCACTCGCAGAGCAGCAGTGCAGGTGCACAGCAACCATACCCACTATATTCATCATGTAAATATTGATTAGGACATTTTCTTTTGCTCTTTTTGCTTGATTTGCATTTGGGTCCTTCCAGAGTAAAACCCATCTCAGTCTTATTTTATGACATTTCTTTATCTGGGAAATAAAATATTTCATATTTTCACTAACCACCTGCAATGCCATGGCTGGCCTCTAGGGGTACTAGTACCCCTGGTTGGGAATCCCTGTTCTAATGGATAAACAGAAAAAAAAAATCAATAATTGGAAATTTTAACTTAACTTAACAACTTAGCAATATACCAGTATTTTTTTATTTACTTTACAGACTAATATATTATATATACAGTTTATTTAACTTTTTTGGCTGATATTGGAGCAATTACCAAAATTAATATCTAAATGTATATCTGAATATCAATATTTGATATTCAGAAATTAATTTGATCTCTGAATCAATCAGTATACACTGGAAAAAGGATCTAAAAATAAGTAGAAATGTCTTAAATTAAGTGTATTTAAGCTTAATTTGAGTAGGTAAATGAGATAGTTTGCCAATGGAATGAGTATTTTTGCTCTTAAAATAAGAAAATTTGATAAAATGCACCTGAAATAAGACAATGTAATTGTGTTTTCTTATTGTAAGTGTAAATTGTCTTGTTCCGTTGGCAAAATCTCTCTTTTACCTACTAAATCCAAGATCAAATACACTTATTTTAAGAAAAACTGACTTATCTAGATTTAGATTTTTTTCCAGTGGTGGCTAGCCTTGCAGCAAGAAGGTTTCGGGTTTAATTCCTGGCCTGACGTCTTCGAAGTTAGCATGTTCTCCCTGAGCATGCGTGTGTTCTCTCCGGGTACTCCGGATTCCTCCAACAATCCAAAAACATGACTGTTAGGTTAACTGGCTTCTCTAAATCCTCCTCAGGTGTGAGTGTAAATGGTTGTTTGTCCTGTTTGTCTCCGTGTTGTCCTGCGTTGGACTGGAGACCTGTCCAGGGCGGACCCCGCCTCTCACCCGTAGACAGCTGGAGATAGACACCAGCACCCAAGCGACCCCGAAAGGGATGAAGTGTGACGGAAAATGGATGGATGGATGATATCTGAATATCCATTAGATGGGCCTGATCCTTCTGTTTTCTCTGGACTCCTCTGCCTGCCTGGCTTTTCAGTAACGTTCTGTATCATCTAATGAGGCAGACCCATCAGTTCCACTTAGAATTAAATATTGATAAAAATATACCATCGTCAAATCATCTGTGTACATTCCCAGGAGTTTCAGTGGAGATTCTCTGATGCTATTTTCTAACTTGTAGAAATGAAGATGTCAGAGTCCAGTCAGCAGACTGCTTGTTACTCACCTCTGACCACCAGTTTAGCTGAAGAAGAAGCGCTGTCCACCACCGTCTGAGCCGTGCAGGTAAATATTCCTGCCTGGCTCAGCTGAGCGTTTACGATCAGCAGGTCGCCGATGTTTTCTTTCTGAATAGAAAAGGTAAGAGACGCTTAGATTCTGTTCTGGAGAGGGAGCAAAATCTGAAACAGCCCTAAATCACCTGCAGCATTTTAAAGTTAGACAAGGATGTAAGTATCACCAATACTAAATACAAACAATTGGATAAAAAACACATTTCATTTCAGCTATGAA